CTTCCCCTTCTAACTTCGACCATTGGCTTTCTTTCTTTTTTTTTTTTTTTTGGAGAGATTTTTCGCTATAGGGCTCGTGCGCTCGCCAGCCAGACAGAGAGAGACATTAGAGACAGAAAGTGAGAAATCACCCCCCAGGGGGGATGGTCACGCCGCAATCCTTTCTCCTCCATTCTCCTCTCGGGAGCTTGGGCACGCACGCACATGCGCCCGGCGTGAGTTTTAAGCCACTGGGTCCAGGACGCGAACCACGGTCGACTACATGGGAGTCCAGCGACATAGCCATTACGCTAACTGCTGGTTCCCTGCTCTTGGATGTATTTCTAACCGTAGCTGCCAGTGTCCATTATAACTCGACCATCACGTGGAAGGAAGTGCCCTGATTTTGTTTTGTTTGGTCTTTAGATTTTTGCCGTAGGGTGCATGGGCTCCTCGGAGAGAGAGACAGAGAGAAAGTGAGAAGCCCTCCCTGCCCCGCCATGGCCGTGCTGGGACTCCAATGGTGGAAGCTCCTGCGTGCTGGGTACTCACAGGCCTCCTCTGGGGGGTTAATGGAAGGCACTGCTAGAGCTCACCTGTAAGCTGTCCTGACCACAGGGCCATCACAGCCTTCCCCAGGGGGGTGTCGGTCCCCCCATGTCCTGACCACAGAGCCATCGCAGCCTTCCCCAGGGGGACGCCGCCTCCCCCCTCATTGTCCTGACCACGGAGCCAGGAGCCATCGCAGCCTTGCCCAGGTGGATGTCTGTCCCTCCCCCCTCCCCCTTAAGGTTTTTATCAGCACTTCTCTCCCTTCAAGAATTCTGGAGCATTTCAAAGTTGATGGATTGTGATGTAGCTTTCAAATTTTCCATGAAGGCCCGTCTGTCACTTTTCTGGAGCAGCCACATCTACTGTCCACCTCCTCAGGCCCAGAGCTGCAGAGGGGAACCACATTCTGCCGTGGTTTCGCGTTCTTGCTGGAAATACTTTTTTTTTTTTTTTGGAGAGGTTTTCGCTATAGGGCGCGTGCGCTCGCCAGACAGAGACATAGAGACAGAAAGCGAGAAATCCCCCCCCCAGGGGGGATGGAAATACTTTTGAGCATGGCTTAAGACCTTTGCAGCCCTCTGTAGTGATGCATGCAGATCCGCAGACTGTGCTGCTGAGGGACACCCAGAAGAGGTCAGGTTCCTAACAGTGGCGGGAACCCCCCCGCCCTTGTAAGAACGACCTTAGCTGCTGGGAGGCTGCGGGGCCCAGCGGGGCCCAGGCGGCAGAGCATGGCCTCTGGGCCATATCAGTGTTTATCCCAATAAACCTCCTGGCTGTAGGAAGCGCTTGTGCCCGTTTCATTAAAGATCCGCCTTCTGCACCCACGTAAAGCTGCGTCTTTGTTCTTCACAGTCGACCCCAGGGGCTCAGGCCACCGCCCTGCGGGACCCCGCGTCACAGTGTGCCGCCATGGCGCGGCGGGGCGATG